GTAGCCAAAAAGCTTCACTTTCAGCGACCAAACTGTTTTTAGTCACCAAAACACGTATAATTGGCGACCAAATTGTTTTTTAGTCGCCAAAACCATCACTTTTGGCTACTAAATTATTTTAGTCGCCAAAAACCGTCACTTTTGGCTACTAAAAAACCTTTAGTCGCTAAAACCCATATAATCGGCAAGTAAATTGATTTTTAGTCACCAATAACTATACATTTGGCTACTAATTCCATTTTAGTCACCGAAAGTGCTACTTTCAGCGACAAAAATTTTTTTTTAGTCGCCATTTGTGCTTTTTGTTGTAGTGTAATGACAACCTAGGATTTGAATACAATTGATCCATTCAAGGTTCCGAAACATGCCACTTGCGCAAGACTTTATCTCTTAATAGGGAACGCATTCCACCATTTAATACTTGAAATCAACATATTCTAACTCATAAAACATTACCATGACTGAAACCCAAATACTACCCTTATTAATTTTCCCATTAAATTAGGTGTATTATACTTGGGTTAGATCAAGCTATTGAAAAATGAAACCACTACATAAATAGAAGCATATCATGATATAAATTTAAAGGAAATACAACCACAAATATGCATAGATGGTACACCAAGGCTTGATTGATTAGTAAAGGATATACATAACCAATTAAGAGCATAAGAACATTGAACTTAACAAATTTCCAACATTGAATCTATTGAAAATAATTATAAATGGGGTGCTTTTAATGGTCCTCAAGACTTGGCCCAACTACTCTCTAATGGAATTATTTCCATAGAATATGTTAAGTCTAAAGACAACATAGCGGATCCACTAACCAAAGGGTTAGCAAGAGGGTTAGTTGAGAATTCATCAAGGGGAATAAGACTTAAGCCTATTAAATAAGAGTTACCACAATGGCAACCCAACCTAGTTTACTGGAGATCCCAAGATCTAGGTTCAAAGGGACAACCGAGTTGTGAATGACTCAAAAGGATCACTGGGGAGTCTAATTCCTATCCATTTCTATGATGAAATAAGTGATGTCTGCAGCGTTTTAGGTTAAGTAAACTTTTAATGATTCTTATATCTAAGTAAACCTAGTGGAGTATGGTAGGATACTCTTCATAAGAATCACCTATGTGAGTGTGAACTGGGCCGGTTCTATGAGATTTGTGAAGGGTTACAATTCTCTAAAACACTCATGAAAAACCAGGTTGTTTAGGGCCAAAATGAACACAATAGTGAGAACTAAACTATGACTGGGGATATACTGTGTGAGTTCTATTATCTTGGTTTACACAAATGGCTGAACAGTTTAAGACATCATGTTCACTGATTAGCTTGTAAATCCGATAGTGTCTCACAAGGGAAGGTTCAAAGCCAAAAGTTACATATCCTTTGCAGAATATTTCTAATTTCTATACTCTCTGTAATTAGATCATGTTGTTGCATTTTCTCTCTGTCAAATTCCATTCATGTGGGGGATTGTTGAAAAAATAGGTTTACAAAGGCTTATTTTGGGCCATCTTTGAGCCCAAAATTGAGTGGGCCGCGAACGTCTTTTGGGGTGGGTCCGAAGAGGTGAAGTGTTCCTTGCCGCGTGGTAAGTCATACGGTGAAGACGGTTCGTCAAAACCATTTATGAGTGAATGGGAACATAACATCGTTTTCGGGTTCGTGGAATGGACATTTAAAGTTTTTAATGTGGGTTTCCTTGTGAGGATTGTCCCACATTGAAACTTTAAGAGAGTTTTATTGAGTATATCAGCTTTAACTTATAACACTTGGGTTGAGCTCCAAGGGGCACCCCAAGTTTGTAGAAGGGAAGAGTTATGGACAAAGTGAATCTTAGCCCAAACCACCACACACGCGTGCACTGCCGTCTGGCCGAGCCGAGCCGAGCCGTGCCGGGCGCGGGTGTGGGTCGGGTCAGTTCTTGTATTAATTTTTTGGACAAAATTCATTTGAATTTTTTCAAAAAATATTGTGGGAATTTAATTCAAAATTGAATTCCAATTTTTGTCCAACATTTAAGTCTCATTTTGTCCGAAATTCCTCTCAAATTCAAACTGAAAAACTGCCCAACAAGTTCAGTTTTAACTGCCCAATAGTTACAAATCTGTTATTTCCAAATAGATTCAAAACCTAGCAGCAAATCTGTTTGAATTCAAAACAGCATCTGTTCAAAATTTGAACTTAATCTGTTCAAAGCAGTGTCACATTTGTTCGGCATTTTATGCACCTGTTCGGACAGATTTTCGGTCACCTTTTGTGCCTATATATAGATCCATTTCCTGCAGTCCAAATGATCTGAAAAAATCACTCTGCAATTTATGTTTTTGCTGTCCAGATTTTATTTAGTGCATTGTTCTTCATTCTAGTTTTAGGAAAAATCAAAGAGAGTATAGAACACAGGTTTGGTTCGCCGTACAAATTTGTTTGGAGTGCTACTACAAATTTGTGAAGATCATTGTATCTTGGGAGATAGACGCCACTCAACCGTAAGTACCGTAGCGGGGCGAATCTGTCTTAAGGACAGAGTGTCACACACTCGACTTGGTCTTTTATTTTTCATTTGGTTCGAGAAAATAAATTCTGTAAGTTTTTATTTTATTTTGTTTGATTTAGTTTCAATTTATTTTATTTACACACAAGATTGTTCCAACAGAACAGTGGTGTTGCGATGATGATAGTGGTTGAACGGCTGGCGTTGGGAGTGAAGCCAAAGATGATGGAATTAGGATTCAACTTTGAAAAATTAGGGTCAGACGGTTAAAGGTAAGGATAAAAATGAAATTTTAAATTTAGACAAAATTGAATTAAAAAAAAAAAACCAAAGAGAGAGGGTTTAAGAAAATAAGGTAAGTGTTAATAGCAATCCTCTTATTGAAAATTGAGGACTTAAAATGCTCAAATTTTTAGATAAGATTGGTAAAATAATATTCATTGATAATTAAGAGATTCGTAATGTAATTAATCTTTTATAAAGTTGAAACAAAAATGACCTAAAATTATTTATTTTATTAAATTCGACCCTCCAAGTTATTCTAAACTTATATAGAGTTAGTTTGGGAAGTGGGTTGACTTTTTAACTTTTTGACTTTTTTAATTATTTTAGTCTGGACTAAAAAGCTTGGTTTGGAAATGATTTTTTAACTTTTTTTGTGAGAGAAGAATATAATGATTATAGGTTAGATGTGATATTTTTATTAGTTGTAACTAAAATAGCCTATTTTAACTTTTATAAGTTAGATGTTATATTTTTATTAGTGTAGCTAAAATAATTTATTTTAACTTCTATGGCTAAAAAAAAAAAAAAAAAAACCCAAAAAAACCCTACAAACCTTCGTTCCAAAACGGTGCCATAGACGAACATATTCGTCAAAATCGGGGAACCTACTCGTGCGGCGGGAAATCGGCAAAGCAATGTTGAGGGAGGGAGGAAGGGGGAAGACAATGGTCTGTCCTGCACTGTAAACAACGAAACAAAGGAAGGTTGCTTTCCCCTCCACCTCCACCTCCTCTGCACGACTGCTTCTTAAAAGATAAAAAGCCCTGCTACCGATTGGTTTTCCAGAGCAATTCAAAAAAGAACAAAGAAGTTATATCACCAGAACAAAGCAAGCATCTACAGGGAAGAGAGAGAGGGGTCTCTCTCTCTCTCTGTGTGTGGCTCTGTGTGTGTGTGTGTGTGTGTGTCTCTTCCTGATACCACCAACATTGTTTGAAAGGTGAGATTGAGATTCTTATCCTCCTCCTCCTCCGCCGTGTTACTTTTCTTGGCATTGTAATCAAATCTCAATCTGCAATTCAGATATTTGAGCTCAGCATTGTTGGAACATTTTCTTTTGTTTTAAATTGGATATTGTGTTATCTCCTGTCTGTCCTGTGAATTCTATTAAAAAACGTGGTTTTTTTTTTATTTTTTATTTTAATTTGTTAGTTGGTGGTGCTATGTATAATATATGTTTTGTGTATTGGCTCTAACAGATGGGTGAGTGAAAGGGCATTGATTTGATCAGTGTGATTGGGGATTTTGATAATTGGAATTTGGATTGAAGGGGAAGGATGTACAAGGGTGGTCCCCCGCCTCCTTCCCTATCCTCCAACTCCGACTCCAACAGCAACAGGCGAATCATCCAAACCTCCGTTGGCCCCTCTCCCCATCTCTATCAAGTCTGGAAAGGAAGCAATGTAATGCCACCTCCCCCCTCTCTTTTCCTTTTTTTCTCTCCCTTATATTTTATATATTTGAAAAGGAAAAAAAAAAAAAAAAAAAATGAAGCTCAAACTACTTACTCTTGTAAAAAATCTCTTGCAGAGATTCTTCCTTGGAGGCCGACTTATATTTGGTCCAGATTTCAGGTCACTATTCCTTACAATGTGTCTAATTGTGGTTCCTGTAATCTTGTTTTGTGCTTTTGTTTCTCAAGGGCTTGTTCATGTTTTACCACACCGCCTGGGCCATCTTGTTGTAGTTTCATCTGCAGTCTTCACAGCTTATGTGAGTTCTCTTCCTTTACTAATTGGTTAGTCAATTATCAGATACAACTACTTTCAAGTTTCATGTCTTTCTTTTCTTGATCCTACCCCCAATAAATCCAGGAAAGGCATAATCAAAATTAGGTTAACTTAAAAAATAAATAAATTAATTAATATTAATAACTAGACGAAGTCATGCTAAGTTTACAATACCAAGTGATGGGTCGTTATACACACCAAAAATAAACACTAAACTATACCAAATTCTTTTAGAATAATGGCAAGTCCAGGTATCGATCCATAGGGAGGGACAAATGTGAAATTAGACTAATTTAATCACTAAATTCCTAAATTAATTTTGATTAAAAGATTGGTTGTTCGTAAACTATAATATTAAGTAAATTAAACTAGCAATTATAAATAAAATTGGAATTATTGATTTTTGGGAAAACCTAGGGTAATGAATCCACCGCTAGTTACATAAATAAGGTTTCAATTTGACACTCAATTATGTTACGGTTTGAACGGAATAATACTTCGCATATACAAGTTCGAAACATTTATTAAGAAAAACATTACATTCAATGTACGGGCACGAACCATCTCAAGTAGTAAGAATTGTTCGTTCTAAACTAGGGTAGCGACACGACTAGTCCCTCGTAGTATGGTTCGTCTCATACCTTGAATATGAAGGAATAGAAAACTATTATATGGGAAGCATTCAACAATCACAGAAAGCAGAATACTTAACAATTTGTTCAAACTGCATAAACATTTGCAACTGCATAAACACCATACAATTTGCAACTGCATAAAGAGATAATGAAAAATAAATATTTGCAACTGCATAAACACCATACAATTTGTTCAAACTTTTACATAATCAAAATGCAAAGAGAAAACCGAATTACATAGTTAGGGTTTCATCAAAATCCTAGAAAGGAAGAGCCTAGCCACTCATGAGGAGTGGGAAGAAGTGGAAGAGATGAAAGACCCAATGGAAGTTGGATTGAAAGTTTGAAAATCCTTTCTTCCAAACCCTAGCCTCTCTCTCCTTGAAAAAATATCAGAACCCTAATCCAGCCTCTTTCTTGCCTTTTTATACCTCTGCTGTCTTTCAAACAGGTTTAAAATATTAGGCCCGTTTTTCGAGGGCCGCATGTGCGGAAAAAGTCAACGCACGTGCGAGAAAACCCTCCGCACATGCGGGAAGCTCTTTTCTCTCCAAATTCTGTATTTTTGCCCATTTTATGCTCCGACCTTGTACAACCTGATTGACATTAAACAGACATAAAATATATAGTTTGACAAGCAAGTAAAGTTAAGAGATCCTAATTAACAGCCGCAATGTTGCACAATTCGGCCTTAGTCACCAAGTGCATCCAAAAGATGAAGCCAAGACTAGAGCTAATTAATGTTACCAGAAAAGAAAACTAATCGACCTATTGCCTTTATTTTATTTTTATTTCGGGGAACATGAACCACAAATTGCATGTAGTTTATCTTTTCATTTCGTAATTTGAAGTATCAATCACAATTGAAAATTGTTTAGTGTGAAGCAATTAGTGATATGCCATATTTGCATACATCTTTATATGGCTTGCAATTTTCAAAGAACAGATGGTCCTACCTCTGGAGTGGATGCATTTTGTGTTTACCTAGAAAGATATAAGTCTTTTTCACTCTAACAAGACTATTATTTCCTTAAATTCCTGGGAACCTCAACAATGGAACATGACTATTTTAATCTTCTTGTCATTCTGGTTAGACAATAGTATCTGAGACTCCTTGACAGTCATTGCAGTAGATGGTGTCATTCCTTTTTTTTTAATTTTTTTTTTTAATGTAAATATTCTATTTTAACTTGATTTTATAATAAGGTTTTGGTTTTCAAAGCTGTTGTTTATTCAATGTTCTTGAACTTACTCAAAGCAATTTATAATTCATACCTTTTTCATCAAACACTATTGAAAAAATGTCACTAATTGTTAATTTGCAGTGACAGTTTGAAATTTGTCACAAAAAATGTCACTAATTATAAGTTTTAACAACAATTTAAAAAATTGTCATGAAAAAAGGCGCTAATTTTCAAATTGTTTTTTAGCAACAATTTGAAAATTTTGTCACAGAAAAACGTCACTAATGGTAAGTTTTAGTGATAATTTATAAACACCGTGATAAAAAAGTCACTAATTGTCCATTCTAGCGACATGTAAAAAATCGTTACAAAAAATTATTTTTAGCAACGATTTTAATAAGACTTATTTTCAGTAGGACTTGATCGGAATTAAGTTCAACTATTAGGATCTATTGATAGTTTATCCTAAAAATAATTGTTCCTAGTGTTTCTATTCACTTTTTTTTTTTGATCCAAGTGTTTCTACTCACTTGAATGTTCTTTAAGTTTAGACCCTGCTCTTCACTGACAAACCTGCTGATTGACTCTATTGGTTATCAACTATTGCAGATTATTGTTCTTCTCTTCCTCACGTCCGGAAGAGATCCTGGTATTATTCCTCGAAATCTACACCCTCCAGAACCAGATGATGATGCCTCTAGCATCTCTACAGACTGGGCTGGAAGCCAGTGTGGTGGTCAAAATTTACCACTCACAAAAGAAGTTACTGTCAATGGGATGATTATCAGGGTCAAATACTGCCACACTTGCATGCTATATCGCCCACCACGATGCTCGCACTGCTCAATATGCAATAATTGTGTTGAGCGCTTTGATCATCATTGTCCATGGGTGGGGCAATGTATAGGGAAGGTATAAACAGTTGCGCATGTTTGTTTTTCTCTTTTATTTTGTTTGTGTTTATGTTTGTGTTTGTGTTTGTTTTTTATTTTTAAAGAAGAGTTATACAAATATGAGTTCAGCATATGCTTTTAAAATATCCTGAATTCAGTTTGATTAGATCATGATAAGATGCAGAAATACACCATATTTTCTAGTGTTTTTTTGGATTAACAGTATGTTACTTCCCATCTCTCTGAGGTTGCTGGTTGTTTAACTTATTTAAGCTATATTTATTGCATGTGCTGTAAGCAGAAGTTACAACTAATTGTCTGGCACAAAATAAAAAGGAAAAGTCACAAGTAGCCATTTATGCTGCAAGCCCGCAACCTAAGAAGCATGGTTGTGGACACGGGAGACGACATGGACACACAAACTTGAATTTTCTCTAAAAGTTAGGACATGAACACGAACACGTTGTGGGCATGATGAATAAATAAATTAGTAAATGAAAATAGGAGATAACATTATTTAAAATATGGGGAAAAAAAAACTAAAATTATTTAAATGAAGACACGAACACGAACATGTTGTGAACTCAAAAAACTAATATTATTTAACTTAAACTGTGGATAAAAACACACAAATAACATAATATTAGCAAGATATCAAAACAACAAAACCGCCAAATAAAATACCGAGAACTAAGCATCTACGGTATTTTTCATTTAATCATCATTCAAAATTCCATAATTATTTGGCATCAAAAATTTCATAAGCCCACTATTTGATGTATATAATCAAAAGATTTTTCATCCAAAAAATAACCAACAGCTACACAAATATTGTGGACATGGGAGATAACATTTCTACTTTGTCTCTTTCTACTTCCTGATTCTTAAATTTCTGTTTTAGATCTATGGTTGTCAGATAGTAGCTTATTTAGCTTATTCTCTTTATTTTCTTTCTTTTTTATTTATTTATTTTTATTTTATTTTATTTTTTTAATGTGTCATGAAAATGTCCTTAGTGTGTCTTAAAGTGTCTCTCAGTGTGTCCAGAATCTATCCCTAGCATTTCCTTAGCATACTTTTTCATGTGTTTGACATGTGTCTGAGCTTGTTTTTGGAGCTTCTCCGTGTCTGAAACTAATATGTAGGTCTAGGAGAGATTTCCATGCTTCCTAGGCTGCAACAGACAGAACTAATATCTTCTCATCATGGAGGTTTGGAGAGTCCAATAGGATAGTTTTCTCCAATGTACACTATAGACCCAAACCTTTTGAGGTCTTAGCCCTTGTCAAGATCTCATGCCTCTTTCTTTTAAAACTAGCAAGTTCTGGAAAGTGAACTGAAATAAGGAGGGTAAGAAAATTGAGCTGAAAATAAGAAAGGAAAAAAAAAAAAAAAGGACTGGACTTTTAAAAAAAATTATTGTTTCATAAGAAACAAAAGAAGTGAATAATATAAATTAAAAAGAGGGTTCCTATGAGGTTTTAATACTTATTAAAGCCATACAACTGTGCGTTTAATGTAGAGAAATTTAAACTAATAATATGGATATGATTAGATATATTTCCCTTTTCCTGTGTGCTTTCTTATGATTCAAATATAGCCTAATAAGTTCTTTTTTTCAGAGGTATTTACTGATATCAGTCGCAGAAAATCCTCTTTTTTTTCCCTATAACCAAAACCCACTTTGATAAAGGTGAGCCCAAAACCATCTAGGATTGGTTATCGCTAGTTGTTGGTGGCTGGATGGTAGGTACATTATGGCCATTTTTGGGGTCTCAAAAGGTGGAGCTAAGGGCACAGTTTTGAGAATGAAAACACAAGGTTCTAGGGGTTGCTTGTGGGTTTTGGGTGCCAAGAATGGTACCTTGCTGGTTTTGTAGTTTCATGGCACTATGTTCCAATGTTCATGGAAAAGGTTGGCTTGTTATAGGGAATGTTTAGAGGTTGAAACGGGGATCAGACCAATCTGATGTTGGGCTTAAAAGTGCTTAAAAATTGCGGAAAATTGAAAAGAAGAAGATAATAAAAGTAGAAGGTGGTCTAGGCATCACACATGGGGTTAGAATTGCATAAAACCATCCCAATAAAGTGTCGAAAGCTCTACAAATTCTGTAAAACATGTTGTCCATAAAAATAGAAGCATCACATAGCTATGCTACATAAAAACTCCAAATTTGGAAACAAATACTTCACCTTCTAAAACCTATTTAATCACACACACACACACACACACACACACACACACACACATATATATATGGTGTGGGTGGCCTAATGAAACAACTTGACCCTTACCAACCCACGGGCTACCACATTTTCCAATAGCCCATGTCAAGAAAATTGTGAAACCAATGAATAAGACAAAACTAGATTTGATTTTGAACTGAAACCAATGAATCATAAAATAAGACATAACTGAAGCTAAATTTTTTATTATGCACGATTCTAATTTGGGTAACCTTGAAAATTTAGATGTTTACAATTATTACCTCTTACTTGAATTTATTTTGTTTGTTCTTTTTATGGATTGCATCTCACTGACATGGAACGTATCCAATTATTCTTCAAACAGAATTCTGAGCCTACAGCAAGGAAAGAATCCCTAGATGTAATATGAGATGTTCCCGGAGACCAATATGTCATGTTGGATACCATCATGGGAGTGGGTATCACAGAAGAGGAGAGAGATAGAAGATGTTGGAGGAAAAAAGAACCTCCAAATGAGGCACATATGCATATATATAATGCACCAATGGTTGCCGTTGGTGTCTCTTCCAGTGCATATGAAGTGTGACCCCATGATGGTTCACACCTCTTCATCCTTAACTGTTGAATTTGATCAAGATTCAACCCCTTTATATCTCTCTCTCTCTCAAGTGGGAAATAACCATCACCCATAATTCCTATGATTGTTGATCATCCTATTTTGTGGCCGTGCTAATTTCATTGCTTTGAACTGTTGACTGTTAGGTAGCTGTACTACTTCTCACATGCAAAAATGAGTGTTGTTATATGTCTGAGATTTCAATTATTGCCTATCGACTTGGTACTTATCCTTAAGTTGATTTTCAAAATAAGAGTACTTTATGGAACAATATTTGATGATTGCATGACTGCTTTATTTGCTGATGTGTCTTCATGGTTATGACTTATGATTGGACCTACATGATTTACTAATTGTTATTATTTACATAAACTACCGTCCTTGAGACGATTGTTCTCAAAAGACTCCTTTGAATTCTAATGGAGGGTCCTTTGGACCCACCCCAGGGATATAAGCGCGGGGTTAACAACTACTGCCCCAGGCACTGCACTGGTAAGTTAGGGGATTCAAACCCTCTCAAACAACATGGGAAGCACACCCACCTGCCGGCAAGGACAGCCCCCGGGGGCATTACTCCTTCCTTTCATTCCCTATTCTATCCTCAAGCCTAACAGGTTAACTGTTTCTACTTGCAGAGGAATTATCGATTCTTTTTCATGTTCGTATTCTCCACAACTGTCCTCTGCCTATTTGTTTTTGCCTTCTGCTGGGTAAACATCAAGCATATAATGGGAGCATACCACTGCAGCCTCTGGAAGGCTTTTGCGAAGTCACCTGTTTCAGGAATTCTTATATTATATACATTCATAGCTTCTTGGTTTGTTGGAGGTCTCACTGCATTTCACCTTTATTTAATTTTCACTAACCAGGTTTTCTTTAATCTCTTTGTTTACCCATTGCAGCATTGAATTGTTCCAATAATTCGGTTTCCACCTTTTTAAAATTTTTATTGTTAATGCAGACAACATATGAAAATTTTCGTTATCGGTATGATGGGAAGAGGAATCCTTACAACATTGGATGTGCTAGCAATTTTAGTGAGATATTTTTCTCTAAGATACCTAGTTCCAAGAATAACTTCCGTGCAAAGGTGAAGAGCGACTCATCTTCAATCTTCAATACTTCAATGTCTTTGGGCCGGTCCATGAGCCCAGATATGTCCAAGTCAAGCTTGGATATTGAGATGGGGAAACGACAAGCTGTTGATGCAGAGGAGTTTGAAGACATACAGAGCCAAATTGAGGGTGTTGGTCGATTAGAGAGATGTGAAACGCAGCCAAGACACGCCAGCTGGGATCGCAAAAGCCAGTGGGAGATCTCACGCGATATGCATATGTTGGTTGCTGAGTTTGATACGGAAAATGCTACTGCAGGAGGCAGAGAGAAGAATCATGGAGATCATTAAACTAAGCCTTGAAGACCCTATAATCTGGGAGGGGATGATAGGTTATTCTTTTTTGATTCCAATAGAAACCTAACCTACTTGTCTGATGGAAGTAGATTCTTCTGCCATGGAAAGATGTCTTTCAATTTACTTCCATCTGAGAGGAAGGAACGGGTTGATTTTTGGTAAAAGATATGAAGGTATTGCGATGACCTGCTTCCCTCATGACATTGGGTGTCCGTGTTGTGGTATAGTAGTATCTGTTTTGCTGGCAAATTGGCTGGCTGTTGATATTCCTTAATTTGTTGGATACTATTAGCTCTCTGCAGAAAAGAACCAAGAAAAAGAAAGGAAAGAAAAAAAAATAGAGGCAAGGCTGGCAGGCTATAATCTGAAGTACTTGTTAAATCATGATTGTAGAGTAATTGTTTAGTAAAGCTTGTGGGGGTTTTAGTGGGTTTTTTTTTTTTTTTTTTGGGTGAGGTTTTGAGGATAATTGATACTGATTAAGAATTTCTTGGTATCTTGAAAAAGAAGTCGGATGTTTGTTGAGGAGAGTGATTCAAATATCAAGTTTTAAATGGTGCTTTCCACACTATTGTTCTAATTGTTTGGAAACTGGTATGAATGCTCAAATTATATCTACAGTTCAAGCAGTCATCATTTAGATAGCACATTCTTGGGAAATACTAACATATAGTAATGGAAAAAAAAATCATTTAGCCATCATTGACGTTCTTAATATGCCTTAAATACCATTTATTAATTATGGCTTGCAACAAGGGAATGCTAAGTATATGGGAACAATTTCATCAATGAATTGACAGTCTCTATGATAAGATGAAAAAACTTAAAAGAGTACCAAAATAAACATTGACCTCCAAATTATGTATCCAAGATATGATATAAAGGAGATTTTATTTAGATTTCGAATCTTTGTTATCTTCCCAACTACCAATGCAACTAACGATTCAAGCGGTGGGTAAGCCTTTAGTGCCCCTCAGTAGTGGTCCAGAATTGAAGTCAATTATATTTAGCTTACTCCTCAAAGAAAGAATGTCAAGTAATTTCCAATCGTGGTACTTGCGAATTGGATCATTCATATAATATGTGAAAAGAACACCAGGTTTGATGTAAAACATGCAGCCATTAATTGCTTTTATCAATATCTTGACACTTGAAGAACAATAGAAACTTGCTAGAACTAGCAAATTCTTTGAATTCCTAGAACAAGGAATGCTTACTTTTGCTGAAAGACGAGCAATGTTTGTAACTAAAGTTGCATCGTTCTTAAAGAAAAGAAAAAAAGAAAGAAAGAAGGCAGCAGTAAATCACGAAAATGATCTAAAACTATGAATTATGATGTGGTTAATTACCAGTCAGAATGGAGGTTATGTGGGCTCTGCTGTGCATTTGAATATCCTCCTAACCCCACCATGTTACCCTCATAGCTTCTTTTCTTCCCAAAACTAATTGAATGAGCGGCAGCAGTAGCACCAGCTGGCTCTACTCCTAAGAAATCAAGTGTCATTTTTTCATGACCTCCTCCTTGCAGGAATACTTGCCTTTCCAAGAGGTTACCGACATTTCCATTTCCATTTCCTGACTGCATGAAATGGGAAGATGAAGAAGAGTCATACAAACCAGCTGTAGTTGTTTGATGAGAAACATCGACATTAATGTAACCATCCGGTCTTGCATCTCCTCCCGCGTCCATATTCTTGTCAAATAATGTCTCTGAATTTGCCGCTACATATAAACCATTGGCAGCTATGGAGGATGAAGCCTCCTGAACCTGCGCTGATCCTATTCCTCCTGATGTGTTAGTACTAGTAGAGTAGCCTGTAAATCCTCTAAGCAGGATTGGGGTGATTGAATTGTCACTTATTTTTGCACCCATTTCTGCTGCTTTCTGTAACAAGGCAGTTGCCGATGTATAAACAGACCCAATCATTGGCATTTGCGAAGAAGAGTTGTCTATGGAGCTGAAACATGCTCGTGTTGTCATTCTTGGGTTGAGCATATCCAAATTGTTAGATATCATGGCCCCATGGGAGTTGAGGGATATTAACGGATTATCAATCATCTCATGATGCGAAACTGACAAATTCATCATCCTGTTGTGGGAGTTGGTGTTGGTGTTGGTGTTGGTGTTGGTGTTTGTGTTTGTGCAGGAGTCCGAGGCAGGCATTAAAGAAGAAGAGAAGAGCTCTTGAGCTTGGTTCTGTAACATTCCTCCCGTGGCAGCAGCAAGGTTCTGATTCATTTTGTAATTCTCCTCTGTCAATGCATCACAGAAGGCTCTGTGTGTCACAAAACTGTCTTTCCTGCACGGCCAATGCAATTAAGCTTGCTAGAGATGAAAAACACATGTATATATTATCAGATAAATTGACATGCGATGAAGTGGTAAAAGAAAAAAAGGGGAAAAAAAAAATACATGGTTTTATCTAATTTAATTGACCATATATAGTCTTTGATAGAGCAGAATGGCGAAAAATATGGGACACTAGAAAAGTTCTTTTAACTTCTATTTTTTAATTATCAGTTTCAAGCTTGCTAAAAGTTTGCACTAATAAGGCATTTGATCATGTTATTTAAAACTTTTTGATGCACCTTGAGAAAATGGTGCCACAGTCACATCGGTATTCACGTGTCCCGCAGATCTTAGTGTGGGCCTTCCAGTCAGACTGCACAGCATAACGCTTTGAGCACTTGTCACACTTCCATTTCTTCTCGCCGTGCTTTCTGCAGAAGTGCTTCTTGATGCCAGTCAAGTCACCTAGAGCCCTGCTGGGGTCATGGTGCACACAGTTTGGCTCGGGGCATATGTAGACCCGCTTCTTCACTTGTGTGGTAGGCCTCTGCTTGAGCTTCCATGGCAAGTTATGGCCTCTCCTGTGGAGTTGAAGGTTCTGATCTCTCTGGAATCCTTTATGACACACCTCGCATATGTACCTATTTGTCGCCATTAGAGTCCTTGGTGATAAGGCCACAACCTCAGCATCTGGGTCTGTAAAATTTCACCCACACCAAAAAGGATAAGAAAGAACATATTTCATTTCGGCAGTTTTTCATGATCTCACTATTCAGATGAGTTAGCTGACTCAGAATGTGATAGGAAGACCACCACTAAATCTTTTTATTTATTTTTATTTTGTACGAATTACGAATGCGATCTACCTTATGGCGATTATAATTGAACTGGAAAGCTTAAAATGATCACACTTAAAAATCCAGTAAAAAAATTGAAATCCTAGGTTGCCAACAACTTATCAAACTGTAGCATTATTTTCTTTAGAAGTTTGAATTGTATCATATTGATGAATCCCTAATGTGACATGACTTGTGTATTGTTATTATTTTAATTTTTGATTTACCATTACCATAGTTCTATGGTGGGTGCTTAGTTATAACGAATATCTCTTTATAATTTTGGGCAATTCAATCTTAAATAATGAATGCAAAAAAGTATTCAACAAAAGATATAGTATGCTTGCTTGCCTGGATTCCCAGGGAGATTCCGTTTCTTCTTTGATGTTGTAGTGGCAGGAGTAGAACCGTCACAACCATTTTCAGTAGGATTAGGACTCCCATTGGATGACTGGGTAACTAAAGTGCTCTGGAACTGTTGATCATCTTCTTCGTCATCGTCAAATTCTTGAACAAAGTTTGACATGTTTGGTTTTCCTTGATCCTATGCCATGTTGGGAAGAGGGAAGCTAACGATGGATATATAAGCTTGGGGAAGGTGGGAAGAGTACGGTAGCAGACAAAAAGAAGAAGAAATTCGATACCAAACTCAATCAAAGACCATGGTCCATCAATTGATATTAAAATGAGATAACAAATTCTACTTGATATGATAACACCACCATTGGATCATAAAATACTAATAAAATATCAAAAAATGGACATTATGATGCTGTCTGCTTGTCCTAAGTGAAGTAGGAATAAACCTTCTGAGTCCCCAAAATTGCAAAACCACTTGTAAGTTAAGGACTGCGTTTCTTCCACTAATGCAAAAATTAATGCATATTTTTTTGAAAGATAAGACAATCCAACCATTTAAAAACTTATCTGTTATGGCCAAATCACTGTGATTCAGCTAACAGTATTGAAGTTAAAGGGATCTATATCTCTCTCAAATAGGTTTGCCGTTCATCTATTAAAAAAAAGAGAGTACTAATTAGTTGAAAAAGAATTCCAGTATGAACAGAACGTAAGGTGACAATTCAGAAACGACAAATAATAGAATTCCAAAGGAGAGATCCGTGTGAAGAGACAATAGTTGCGTTCTACTTAAAAATTAATAGTATATTTAAGATGTTAATGCCAACCTGCTTCCATTATCCATCCTGGAAGGATACTTAATAGTCGGTTAATATATATGTATGTGTTTGTCATGCCTTGGTGTCTTTTAGTATGCTAATGTTGTTAAGTGTTTATCTTTATCATGCTGAAACTTTCATAGATATATTTATATAATATATATACATGCATAAATACATAAAATATATGCAAGTAATTAAATAGTGCAAACAAATTCTTTCTGTAATTCCATGTCAACAGCAATTAAACTAAACTGGAGATGAAGAATTAATGAGAACTGAACTGGACTGAGAATCTGTAAAATTAATAGCTCATGCCTATTACAAGCTACTTGCACTGCTTAATTACTTGGGTTTTTGGAGTTATTATTATTAATGAATTTTTTTCTGTTTGTTGGAGTACCCTTCCTTACACCAGTTTATCTAAAAAATATCTGAATGTCTTCATTGTTTAACCTGCTGTTTACTGAAGTTTTATATCTGGATGAAGAGGGCTGACATTAAAAAAAGGCACAACAACCAGCATGAAGGTTTATAGTTTATACCAAAGCATTTTGGCCGCTTTCAATTGTTGATTCCCAAAAATTATGAAAAAAGTACTCAAGCAATTAATGATTACAATGGGTATGAGCTAGAGTTTTGTGTTATATATATGAACCATTTTATCTCCATTATAGGAAGGCATGCCGTCCCACAGATCCTCTCTCGCTCTCTCTCTCTTCAGAAGAAGTCAAAGTACGTTAATTATTAAATAGAACATGGATATTTCTCAATCGGGTGGTATAAGCTTTTGGTCTGTAACAGCAATGTATGTTATATGTTAAGGACTCTAAACCTCTTCTTATGATAAATGTACATATAAATATTTGGATGCAGATAGAAAATATATTAGGTCAATTATTAATTAATGTTGAGCTAAATTTCTACTGAAACCCCTCACATTTTAAGGCTGAATGTGATTGTACAAATACTTGATTCCAAGAACCCAAGCAAAATTCACTCTATTTCAAACGACAAAAGCTTGGCCAGAGACAGCTCCACTTTGGCTTTTGCTACCAAATTCCATTTATATTAAGCAACCAGAAATTAGCCAGCTCTATCACTAGTTGCTATATACTGATCTCTACGAACCTGGAGACCTTAGAATATTATGTTGAAGAATAATTTGATGACCCTCATCATTTAAAAGTCATACTCAAATTAAGTAGCACCACGAACATTTTGGTTTATCAACTAATTTTATTCTAGGCAAAAGGAAAAACTTGTTGTAAGAAAACAACACAGACTAACATAAGTTGCAGCAGTCCTTGACGATGGCAAACATTATTCATTTACTCTCAAACTCTGTGTGAGTGTGTTTTCTTCAGATATTGAGTAGGATAAGGGATTCTGCTGGAACATAGCGGTAACCTGTATGCAAGCCATTCATATTTCGTACGTCATTCCAACCCTGAGAAGCCTACTCTGTGGTATTGCCAATACTTTCTCCCCTTGTCTAAAGTTTTTCCTTAGAAAACTGTAGCCATAGTCGACAACAATCTTCTTGAAGATGGATGAATTCTGTTCTGCTCTCACTTCTGCTTCTCCAAGCAGATAAACCACACCATTGTCCATTGCTTTCTGCACAAACTGCATCTCCTCTTCAGCTCCCTGGATGGGTGCAGAGATGATTCGGCTAGAAGAATTTGCTGACTCAGCAGCAACCACGTTGAAGGGCTGGATGGATCCTGATGATGACACATGAGGCGAGTTGTACTGCTGTTGTTGTAATGATTCCTCAATATAAACCGTGGATGAACTCAAGGCCGTTCCTTCGCAAATGAAATGTTCATGCCTGATGAACTCTTTCAAGTTCTCCACCAACTGTCGTTCAAACTCCTTGGGTTCTTCAATTGCATCATTATACCCGTACCTCACCACGCAGCGAAACATGCGGTAGTCTCTTGGTTCAACTTGCCTAAATAAAAATCTCTCCTCCATTGCCACTTTACTGACGGGAATGGACTTTATAGAGACAAACACCAGAACTGAATGGACGGATGGTATGTTTGCAATGAAGTGACGGAATATTGGAGGAATGCCCTGCACAAGCTCGGAGTATAGAAGTCCAATTCCTGGCAGCCTATTAATATCCGGGTTCAAGGACAAGTCTCTAATGAAATCATTAGAAACCTTGTTCTTGAGCTCAAACATATACCTCTGTTTGTATACGTAATGCCATGCCCCCATTATCATCATTAGAACGGCTGAAAAGGCCAACGGAAGATAACCACCCTGAATGAATTTGTACAGAACAGCTGATAGATATAAACTCTCAATGGAACTAAAAACAACAAAGAACAGAGCAATCCACCATATGCTTGTCTTCCAACTAAGAAGCATGATAAGTGTAACCATATAAGTAGTGATGACCATTACTGCAACCACGGCAATTCCTGCGAACAGTAGAATTAATGAATGTCAGATTTGGGTGGATATTAATTAATTAGATTATATCAAGAAGCTTACCATATGCATTTCCAATCTTCACAGTGGTCTTGAAGCCAAGAGTGACAATAACACAAGCAATCATAAGCATGTAGTTGATCTCGGGTATGTAAACTTGACCCTCGTACTTAGCAGATGTATGGACGACTTTAACCCTTGGGAAACAACCTAGACTTAGGGATTGGGAGATTATTGCAAATGATCCAGATATCAAGGCTTGGCTGGCAATAACGGAAGCAGCAACCGCCACAACGAAAGTTGGCCAGTACACCGGACCTGCAAACCAATACCATAAGTGGGTGTGGTAGAAACAATAATAGGTGTTGAAGCCATCAGTTTCTCCTAGATAGGGCTACTATATAGGCACTTACCAGGTACGCAGGCATAGAAAGCATTATCCACTTGATCAGGGAATTTGACAAGATAAGCAGTCTGTCCACTATAAACAGCTAGTATTGCAGGAAACACAATTCCAGAGAAGCTAATCTGCAATTCCCCATCATCAGAAAAATATAATTAAAGCTATCAACCTGTTCTCTTGAATGAGTAAAAAATTTGAGAAAAAGGATGAACTACTTCTCAACAAATTAAGGTTGGTTTCAAATTTGATATAGTTAAAGTGAGTTAACCCATATAAAAATTTAAAGTCATTCAGAAAGTTCGTGAAAATTAATTGATAATCTATAAACTAACTTACTTGGACTGATCGAACATTAAAGTGCCCAAGATCCGCAAACATGGCTTCTGTCCCTGTTTTAAATAGTATACGTAGGTTTGAAAAGTAAGTAAGAAGCAAACTTACCCAATCGAGTATTGAAGACACTCACTACTAATAAATAAGCTAAGCTAATAAAACCACCAGACTCACCTGTAGTACACAGAACAACTCCACCAAGAGAAATCCATCCTTTCTTGCCATTTCTTTTGAAGTAATCCACTACGTATTTTGGATTAAAAGCACGTAATACACTCGCATCATATTTGAACAAGTTATAGAGTCCAATCACACTAATGAATAAAAACCACAATAAGAGTATTGGGGCGAACATGTAGCCCACTTTATCAGTGCCAAATCGTTGAACAGAAAAGAGAATGATCAATATTGCAACAGAAATGCCCACAACCGCATCTGCAAAAATCATTCATCAGTTGAAGAATGTAATCCATGTAACACTGCTCAAATGAAAGCACATCACCCAATATAATTCAAGTTTACATGCATAAGAATTCAGGAACGCTTTAAATTTTAGTTTATGCATACATAAATAATTAAATCTCAAACAACTATAGAGAATATACAGAATATACAGGTTACTATATGATAGGATTCACTAGAACTATTTTCATTCGCTATGAGCCCCATTATGCTAGCATGTACATATTTAGTGTATCAATTTTTTATGACTATATTCTCTCTAATAAATTTTTTGGTGCAATAATCTTAACTAGTATATCAAAACTCGTACACTATACTGAATATCATTAGGCAAAAAGAAGGGAGGGAAAAAAACAAGCACAACATATTCTTCGCATTTTGATACCTTTGCTTAAGGACTTGAACCCACTGACAGCAGAAAGGACTGCAAAAGAGCATCAATTTTCAGTACTTAATCTCGATACATATATGTTTAGACTGCAAAAGCAAAGAATGATGGGGAACAAGAACAATAAGTTGTATTATGAGAACACTTTTTAATTGTGTGAAACTAACCAGAAATGCATGGAGTTAGAATCCCATCCCCAATAACCATGGAAGTTCCAAGGATGGTGACAAGGAAGAGCAAGAGTTTTGCAGTTTTACTGTTCTCAAGCTTCTCTTTAATCTTTTGAGCCCGTTTCAACTGATTGGAAGGTAGGTCTAGGTTGTAGTTGGATAGTTGTCTGTCCTCCGGCTGGTGATTTGGAAGTAAACTCACCTTTGCATACCGGCATATCAATGAATACAGTGCAAACGTACCTCCTATATATCCACACATGATACATCCATCATCCGTATAGTTAACTTATGAGTTAAGAAAATATATATAAAATTTGTTACTTTGAGAAGAGATGATTAAATAGAGGAAGAATGTTTGAGATATCTAATTTATCACCTTTAAAATCATTCTTAATATGTTTTTGACAAATGTCAAATTTTAATTTGTCAAGTATTTCATCTTGTGAGATTTAATTTCAATGCCACATCATTAGAAGTCATTTAGGAGTGATAAATTAAGGAATGTAACATTGTTGTTAAATAAAGAGAGAGTTGCGAGACTAACCATCGCCGTTATCATTAGCCCGCAAGACGATGAAGACATACTTGAGCAAAGGAATGAGGAGAAGGGTGTAAAGGATGAGGGAGAACACTCCAAGAAGGTCGTCTGTGTTGGAAATCCCATCAGGAAAAGTGCCCTGATATACGTACAGTGGGGATGTCCCTAGGTCCCCATATATCACCCCTATACTCTGAAATACTAGACTCATGGTTGCCTTCCAATTTACCTGCAGCCATGCATTTCACCCCATCAATATCATCATTCATCATCTTCTTTGTTTTTTTGTTTTTGTTTTTGTTTTTTTTTGTTTCTAAGAACGTCCACGATATTTAAAACTACCACATCTAATAATTGTTAAATGATTCTTTTTTCTTTTTCTTTTTTCATTCATCAACCATTGAAAATTGCTACACCATTTTTCTCATTCATCAAAAGGTGAAACACCAATAAATTTCAAAATATAAAACGGTTTAGTCCTTCATTTTTTTTCTTGTGAATCCAAAAATCCCATTAAAGTGAAAGTTACACAAAAAATAGTCACTTACACATTTAGGTGATAAAAGTAAGTTTCTCCAAATGTGAAATTACACATTTGGGCAATCCGCACTATAGAGATTTTGGATTTTTCTCATTTTGAAACAAATATCACTAACACTCCAATAAATGTAATGCCAAACGTAACACTACAATGTAACACACAAAAATTCCTTAGTGTATTTTTCTCAAACTTAAAACTCATTTGTCCCAAACTTACTAAGGAATTTTTGTATTCCTTTTGGAATAGCTTAAAGAATCCCACATCATTTTAGAATGGTTTGAACAATCCCACATATACTAAAGAATTATTTTATGTATTACATTAGAGTGTTATATTAAGAAGTTTTTTTGAGTTTTCTTTTAGTGTTACATTTGGAAAAAATGTACTAAGAAATTTTTTTGTGTGTTACGTTAGAGTGTTACACTAGTAATTTTTTTGGTGTGTTACATTGGAGTATTATAGTTTGAAATTATACATTTATCCAAAATTTATTAAGGAGTTTTTGTACTTCTTTGAAATATTTGAATAATTACACACCATTTTAGAATGTTTGAAAAATCTCATCTTTCAAGTCACTTTTTTTACTCTTTTTAGAATGTTTGAAGAATCTCATATTTCAAGTCATTCAAAATAAAAAAAGATTTTCATATAAAAATTCATCCCAAATTTGATTCCTATAGGTTGTATAGCTTACCTTTTTAGCACAAAAGAAAAAAGGAAAAAAGAAAAGAAAAAAAGAAACATAATAGAAATAAGGGTATGACCGCCACGCTCTCATGATAAAGAGTCATTGGTTGGTCTTAAGACACCGCCATGTGATGCCCAATGATGTTGTGATTGGTGAAAATTGTGGGACCCACAAATTTGTGTTGGGTGATTGAGGATCATGAGAGGGCATGATCCACAAACTTGTGTTGGGTGATTGAGGACCATGAGAGGGCATGGTGAATTGTGATTGGTGGAGTTGTGCGTGGTGCGGTTTGAATAATTACACACCATTTTAGAATGTTTGAAAAATCTCATCTTTCAAGTCACTTTTTTTACTCTTTTTGAAATGTTTGAAGAATCTCATATTTCAAGTCATTCAAAATAAAAAAAGATTTTCATATAAAAATTCATCCCAAATTTGATTCCTATATGTTGTATATCTTACCTTTTTAGCACAAAAGAAAAAAGGAAAAAAGAAAAGAAAAAAAGAAACATAATAGAAATAAGGGTATGACCGCCACGCTCTCATGATCAAGAGTCATTGGTTGGTCTTAAGACACCGCCATATGATGCCCAATGATGTTGTGATTGGTGAAAATTGTGGGACCCACAAATTTGTGTTGGGTGATTGAGGATCATGAGAGGGCATGATCCACAAATTTGTGTTGGGTGATTGAGGACCATGAGAGGGCATGGTGAATTGTGATTGGTGGAGTTGTGCGTGGTGCGGTTTGAGCAGTTTGAGCAGATTGACAAATTGAGAAATTACGGTTTTGGATGGATTGGCGGATTGAAGAATATTTTAACTAATTACCAAACATTTGCATAATATATAACACTAATTTGCACTATAATATTTTTTTATATATATAACACAAACTAATTTTACATATATGTTTCATATATATATATAACTACTAATTTGTAACAAATTTCACATCTAAAATCTCTCTCACACTCATTTTTACCTCGATATTTCATTAAAAGTTAAATATATATATATATATATATATATATTAACTATAGCGGATCAGAGCGGTTTCAAAAGTGGATTATAAATTTTAAAATTTAATCCGTAGTTAGCGGATAGAGCGATGTAAATTGATATGGTTTTAATAAATTAGACAATATTGTGACGCCCTAGGATCAACCAATAATTTTTTCTCATGAATAATCTCATAAATGATCACATGATCCCACGATCCTCCTTTTCTTTTATTTTTTTTTATTTTTTTTTATTTTCCTCCTTATTCGTTTATTTTCTATTTTTAGTTCACTTATTTTTATTTACACTGAAGGCATGTACATACACTAATATATATATATATATATATATCCCAAAAAGCTACTAAAAAGTTTGCAAATATAATCACCATGCTTGGTTTGTTTTTCAAGAAAAAAAATAAATCATAATTTTATTTTGAAAAAAAATAAAAATTAATTTGATGAAAAAATAAATATTAATAAAATATTTTTTATTTTTAAAAATTATTTATGCCTTTTAAATATATAAAATTATATAAAAATGATAAGTTTTTTTATTTTTTTTTATTTCTTTCATCAAATTAATTTTTAGTTTAAAAAAAAAAATTGAAACAAGTTTTTTAAAAAAAATTCTAAAACAAATTTTTGAAAACCAAACCAAACATGACTAAGTTTCTGGGCCATTTTAGAAATGCGACTAGAAGAAAACTATGGGAACCATGTCCCTCTCATTATGACCCTTTAATACAAAAAATATACATTTAATTTTTTATAATATTTAAGTTTCAATTCTTTTGGTGATGAAATCCTTCTGTCGCTGGACAATTTATATATACATATATTAGTGGTGGTGGGTGCAAATGTGATGGGGGGTTTATAATTTTACATTTAAATTTTTGCACAGTTTGATGAGTATGAATTTTTTTTTTAAAACAATTTTAAAATTAATGGCGGGACCCACTGCCACCTAATTAGTGGGAGCACTAATTAGTGCTCCCAAGCATTTTTCCAATTTATATATACATATATTAGCGGTGGTGGGTGCAAATGTGATGGGGGGTTTATAATTTTACATTTAAATTTTTGCACAGTTTGATGAGTATGAATTTTTTTTTTAAAACAATTTTAAATGATTTGATAAATAAACAAAATCACATAGTAGTTATTAGATGCAAAAGACATTCTCCAAATTAAATTAAAAAAAATTGTCGTGCACACCAAATGAATGTATGCTTTTTAGGTGTTGTCTGTTTGGAGGGATTGGAGGGTGGGGTAGGATTTATATTCATTGTTTGGTTTTTCAATTTTGCTCCGGACTAATTATTCCTCTGGACTATCAGTCCCAAATGTGTTGGACAATTGTGTTCCATGGGGTGTGGGACATAAATGGGGGGATAGGGGATATGAGATTAAGTGGTGAAATTACTATTTTAACCCTTTACTATTTAATTATATGTTATATTTAGTAAAATTTAATAAAATTTAAATGTCTCAATTTAAAAATAAAATAATTTTATTTAATTTTTATTGATGTTTTATTTATTTTATTTGTTGAAATAATTTTTTATAAATATTTTATTGATGTGTTATTTTAATTAAAATTTTAATTAAAAAATAACATATATTTTTATTGATATTTTATTTATTTAATTTAAAAAATAAATTTATTTAATTGTGTAAAAAATAAAATAAAATAAAATTTTATTTAATCTAGCTAAAAATAATTAAAATATTAAAGATATGTTTAATATTACTATTACTTAGTAAATAATTGAAAATGGTGAAATAATCATTTGAGCATTTATCATTCCACATAATATGCCAAAATCTAATCTCATAAACATAGGATACTTATCCTATCCAACCAAATAGTCCTCAGGACTATGAACCCGTCCAAACAAATATAGCAAGATTTGAATTGGAACATATTGTTTGTGCTTGTAAGACCAGTATGGATCTGACCTCAATGATTTGAATTGATTATTTTTTAAACCACAATATGTAAATCATCCACCAAAAAAAAAAAAAAAAAATCATAGATGAATTAATTTTTAAATAGTATTAAATAAATAATATGATTACAGTTATCGAATTGATCTAATTTTTTCATGTACGATCTAATAGTCTAAAAAATAAATAGTTTGAATAATTCAAAATGAAACCAAGGTGGGTTCCAATAACCAAACATGAGAGAATTTGATTTATAATCTTTAAATTACACCTACAATAAAATATCGCAAACTAATCTAAAGCTAAAAAATTTTCGTAAAGCTTTTCATGTCATGAAATCTAATATTATTCATATAATAATAATAGACAAAGACGGAGAGAGAGAGATTGAGATTGAGATGGGATTACTAACGAGGGAGGTGTGCTTTGTTGAAAAATCAAGTCGACCAGCCTCCAAGTTGAGGGAGTCAACACGGCGCAGTTTTGCCCATGACACCTTCCGCTCTTTAATCGAGTTGTTGTTGTTATTGTCTGCTTCTTCCGTATGTTGCTGTGGTTCCTCCTCCGCCATCTCGATATTCATTGGGATATATATATATATATGGATGACACAAAACACGAGCACACACCGCTCTCACCCTTTCCCTTTCGATATTTGTTACTCTCTCCCCAACCCCAAGATGCTGCGTCTCATCATAATTGTCTGATGCTGCCTGCTTTATTTATAAGCTCTCAACGTCAAAACTCCTTCAATTAAAAAAAGAAAAGAAAAAGTGGATCCTCCATTTTAAATAAAGTCACACACATCTCACAACCTTATCAAGTAAAATGTTTTTTTTTTTTTCTTCCCCCCAATAATACTTCATTATGTTCCCCAACCAATCACTCCTCACATAATATAACACTAGTTGTTATATATAATAAGAATTCTCCCCGGTGTATAACACCCTCCACATTAGAGTGATAGCATAGCACTTGTCACCTTAAGAGTCCTTGTTCTTCTCATACTCTACCTATATTTGATTAGATTAGATTGCATTAGAATCCTTGTTCTTCTTGTACTTAGGTATGTTTGATTAGATTAGATTAGATTAGATTGTATTAGTCCTTATGACAATCTGAAACCACACATAGCAATCTGTAACCACACATTTGGATTTCTTTTATAATGCTAACTTGTTCATTCATTCAGACCCAAAAAAAGGTCAAAATATATAAAAATATATATAGTGTTCATTTGGAATGTGAGTTGACTTTTTAGTTTTTTGACTTTATAGTTATTTTAGCCTGGGGTTAAAAAACATGTTTGAGATAGGTTTTTGATTTTTTTTTAACTTTTGTGAGAGAAAAAATGAAATAATTATAATTTGGATGTGATATTTTGTCTTATTGGATTAAAAAGTCTATATTGTCTTTTTGTGGCTATTTTAGTCTAAACATGACATGCCAAACGAAGCCTGAGCTTGGAAAATTTCTAGTATGGACGGGACGGGTATATAGCGTAGGTGACGAAGCCTCTTCCAATGTGGAGGTTCTTTGGGAACTCAAAAGGCACAACACATCTGCCATGAAGGATATTAGCTCTTGGGGATGTAGCCTCTAGGATGCAACTTGGTTAAATTACTGCTATGAAATTTGAAAATTACTGGTATCTAATAGATCCACAAATAATGATGTGGTGTAATTATCTACAATTATCAAAACTCTTAAAGATAATTTCACAATTATCTTATTTAATTATATGCGAATTATCATGGAGGCTCCATGGGTTATGAATCAGATTGAATCCAATCCAATTTTTAACACACTTAACTTTGCAAATGCAGTAGTTTTCAAAATGTTCTGTGTCTTCACATTAATTCTTGCATGTATCTGTTGGGTGTATTACTGTCGGACTTTTCATGTAGTTAGATATCAAAATCCTTGCTTTCGACTTTGGGTTTAATGGAAATCAGAAATGATACATCTCTCTAATTTAAGAGCATTAAAAGAGTATTAATGATGTGAAAAAAAAAAAAAAAATTAAGGTCAAAACATCATATCACATGAAACCCACACACCAATTAAAACTATTAGAACTCTTAATTTAAAGCTCCTAATCTATTTTCCAATAGAAGTTGTTATCTTGCCAATCATGATTATTGCAATCATTTTTCGTATTTTATAGGATTATTTATAGTAGATTCCAACTTAAGCCACTTTCTATTTTTGGACTCTTCAAAAGATAGTGACAATACAGTTGTTGTCCTCACACTACCAGAAAATGCATTTTTGCCGATCATTTTTGGCTACCAAAAACAATTTAGTCGCCAAAAGTCACGGAATTGGCTACCAAAAATAATATTAGTCGGCAAAAGTCAACTTTATAGCTACTAATTTTTTTTAGTAGGGGAATGTTGATTATTGGCGACTAAAAAAAATTTGGTAGCTAAAAATTTTACAATTGGCGACTAAAAAAATTTTTAATAGCTAAACATATCATAATTGGCGACTAAAAGAAAATTTAGTAGCCGTAGAGGTACCTTTAGCTACTAAATTATTTGGTAGCCGAATGAAAATAAAAAAATTAATTTTTAATCTTTGCCGACCAAAATTTTGGTCGCCAAATGTTAACTTTCGGCGACAAAATTGCTTTTAGTCGCCAAAGACCTACCTTTGGCTACTAAATTCTTCTCTCTCCATACTGATCAGAGACGGTGCAAGCTCTTTTCCATGGTGGGAACTTCTCTCTCTGCTCTTCGTCACTTCCAATCACCATCGTCTACCCTCCACCCCTATTTTTATCTCATTTCTCTCTCTTTCTCTCTCTCTCTTTCTCATAGAATGGATCGACGATGTTGGACAAGATTGAAGAGACGATCGCCAATTTTGAACCAAGGACCACCATATTTGACTCCAAACACCACCGTTCCAAGTTCGACCGAGAACCCAGGTTTGTCTGTCTGTTTGTCTCTCTCTCTCAATCCAATTAGTCTTTGTCTTTGGTTTAGAAAATGAATTTGGTTCACAATCATCAGGGTTTGATCGAACCCTTTCATCTTTATTGAAGAAACCCCTTCGTCCTCAATGATCGAAACCTTAATGAAGAAACCCCTTCGTCTTCTCTTTTTGTCAGGTATTTTTTTTTTTACTTCACTGTGTTGATTTTTTAATTTTTTTTTGCTTGAAATTGCTGAAATTGAAATTTTGCTAAAATGTGTTAGAATTGTTCTTATTCCGTTTAATTAGCTAATCTTACTATGTGATGCACACAGCAAACAAGTATAGACTGGATCGCCTAATTTGGAACCAAGCATCGCATATCCGTTTGTTTGGAAAATGGTTTGAAGTTTGCTACTCGCAAGTAGGCTAAAATACGGATTTCAATGAATTGTTCCAATTCAGGTAATCTAACCTTCACCCACAGGCATTCAGGTAGTTATATCAAATAAGCAGTTAGCCTCATGGCAAGCATGCTTTCATGGCAACATTAACACACATGCAATATGCTAAAGCGTAAACACTCACAGTGTACTCCGAGCCAAAACAAAGAACTAGTTAGAAATCATGCATGATCCTAGTTCATGTTAAGATGGCTAATGCAACACATGCGAAAATGCAACTAAAATAGGCTCGGCTATTCTAGAATGGCATATGAAACGCAACTTTGATACATGTATTCAAATAGGGATTGAAATACAATGCAGTTAGTATGATGTGCCGAGCCTGGTGCATGCAAAACAGATGAATGGATGCACGCATGCAAGCATAAGGTATGCTAATTGAAACATGCCCTAAAACTAACCATCGTAAGCGATTAAGTAAAAGGGAGAAAGAAATGGGATTGGAAGACATGCATCACACACACACACGCTTATTACAACAGTTGGCTCTCTCGAGGGAGAGACCAAATAAGAAGCTAACTAGCTAATCTAAGCTAATTAAACTAATTATTACAAAACAAACTAATTAACTAATCTTAGTTATCTAATTATTACAAAACGAATTTAAATAGCTAAACGCATTAACTAATTAAAGGGTACAAACCAAAGCAAAAAGCTAGCTATCTAAGCATGGCAACTAAGGAAAGCAATAAAAGCAGGAGGTTCTCGGAAGGGAGAAGACTGGATGCATGCTTGGTCGTCTCGTTCGGAAATCCAATGCGATGCCCCGATTTGCCTCTGTTTTCATTTGTTCTCAGAAACTTGTACCAAGCTCTAGAAAACTGAAACTCCACCTAGGGAAACCTGTGGGAGGGTGGCCGACCACTTTTGGTTATTGAAAAACCAGAAAAATGGTAGGGCAGCTAGTTTTTCTGGCTGGCCAGCCAGTTGTTGCTGCTGAACTGCAATTTGCTGTAATAGAGAGCAAGAAAGGGCATGGCAATGTATTTGTAAGATATGTGTGCACAACCACCCTCCCTATCATGTCATAAACTCAAGGGAGTGTGGTTCTCGACCCTCGGGCCACCAATCGCGCATTTCAATGCATGATCGCCGAGAGGCGAAGTTGCACAATTCAATGTAAAATGAATGCACAAGTAAACACATAAAGCCTAGAACTCTATCATGTATGATCAAGAGCGTCGACGAGCGTCGGCGACCAAGAATTGAGGCACGTTTCATCACTTGAAGTATGAAACGTCCCTCGTTTCTCGTGTTTGGACTAACACATATTCCAAGCACAATGCAACACATAACATGGCATACTCAATGCAATGTAAAGCAACCTTAGCACTCAAACATGGGAGGGACAAGCATGCAGGCATGTGATTAATCATACTAGCATACACAATGCGAATGAACTATATGGCATACACAATGCTAAATGCTAAGAACTAGATGGCATACTCAATGCAAGTCAATCATAAGGTTCTAAACACCATGTAATGCATGCATGCACAATACAATGCAACAAGGGCAACAATATGCAATACACCAAACATGCAACAACATGTAAACCATATACTCAATGGACTTAAACCAAAATGGACAGACCTCAGTCATGCCCAAAACAGTGGCCATAATGCTGAAATGAAGGCACTGAAAACACATACAAGCATGCATGCCAATTGGCTCACCAACTAAGGCACTAAGGTGCAACTCTCAAGAACACTTTAGGAGTGAAAAGCGTGGAAGTGTAACAACACTAAAGGCACTGAAATTAGACAAGAAATGATGCCAAATCACTTAATCAACACAAGCAAGGCAAGCAAAGGTCCTTAAAGCTTAAGACAAGCAAAGAGGACTACAAAGGGGGCATGCAATACATGGCACAAAGGCATTAAACAACCATGGACAGAGCTGAAATGGGTCAAGACAAAGACCATTACATGCTAAGATGGAGGCCCAAATACCTAGGTAAGATGGCATATATGCTAGGCCACAAACTAGGCAACAATGCACAACACTTAGAAGCATTCAAAGCATGAAAGAAGTGGGAACATGAAAATGCTAAATACTCTGAAACAACATATTAAGTGACGCCAAATCATGTACACAACACAAATGAAGCATGCAATGGTGCTCAAAGCTTGAAGCAAGCAAGAGCATTTGTACTACAAGTATACAAAACATGAAGCATGTGACCAAGGCAACCCAAAATAGTCCTAGAACATGTCAGAATGAGTCTAAAACATGTATGGAAGGATGCCAAAACAAGCTAGTATGGTGAGCATGAGGCAT